GAGAGGGTGAAATTTCAGGAGGCATGGGACATTGGACAGGTACAAAGCCATAGACTCCACCCTCCAAACTAACTATTCCCTTCTGGGGAACCATTGTTGCCAATCTCCAGGTGAGGGCTGGAGATCACTCAAAATTTCAACTGTTCTTTAGGTAGCAGAGATCAGTTCCTCTGGAGAAAATGGTGGACTCAGTGTCATACCGTGCTTAGGTCGCTACAGCAAATTGACACTGACTGTCCAAGGCCGGGGCACCCACCCAGAGCCTCTTTCTAGAGGTCGTATTTATTTCCACAATGGGCCTTTTTCCTAGTAAATTTATATATAAAAATATTTAAAAATCTCAATATACAACTAAGAAACTTTATTATTCTTTATACATAAGCTTGAATTGTACATGCAGTTATACTAGTTGTCTGCACGGTTTGTTTTGCTTCCTGCACCACCTGGAGGCTGGCAACCCTAGGCAACCACATGTCAAATGAAGTTCACTGTGTGAGACAGGATGCTGGACTGGATGGACCATTGGTCCAGTTTGATGTAGAGGTTAAGTGCGTGGACTCTAATCTGGGAGAAGCGGGTTTGATTCCCCACTCCTCCACTCGCACCTGCTGGATGACCTTGGGAAGCCGTAGTTCTGATAAGAGCTGTTCTTGAAAAAAGAGCAGTTTCTGTCAAGAGCTCTCTCAGCCCCACCTACCTCACATGGTGTCTGTTGTGGGGAGGGGAAGGGAAAGGAGTTTGTAAGCCGCTCTGAGACTCCCTTGGGTAGTGAAGGGCGGGGGTATAAATCTCTTCTACTTCTTCTTCTTCTGATCCAGCAGGGCTCTTCTTATGTTCTTATATTCTTAATCTGCACTTTCTGCCCTTAAGTTCCCATGACGACCCTTTTTGTTTTTTGAGACACGGCGAATCATTTCCCCCTAAGCAGACCCTCTGCATCACTCTGACTGTGAAAGTTGCAGATGGAACTCTTGTCGTTTGATGAGCAGTCCTGCTCCATCAGCTCTCATATGGCAAGTATAACCTGAGGGTGCTAGGTCATCCTTTCACACCCCTGAACTAATTGTGGGAGGCCAGGGAAGCTAGGATGTCATCGATAGAGCCAAGTAAGTCAACCTACAAAATGCAAATGGAGAGCACTTCGGCTGTCATAATTCCAAGAATGACAGACAGCAGTTCCACCTTCCTAATGGCACAAAACTAGGTGACAGCGAACATTTATGTTGGTTTTTCATTTTTCGTTGTTTTGTTTCCAGACGTCCTCACTGCTAGAAAAATTTAAAAATACCGTCTTTTAGAGAGTACGGCCGATGCAGGCTGGAGCTGTGTGCTGGCACACAACCGGCTGCGCTCCTTTGCATCATGCGTGCTGGGCCAGTGTGCATGGATTCGAACGGTTGTGCTGATGTTGCAGCCACTTACTCTTTTTGATCAGATCTTTCTAAAAACTGGACTCTCTTTATAACATCCTCCCACCTCTTGCCGGGTTGCAACTTCTTATAAAAATGCACCCACCTAACGCTCCTATCCCCTGACCGGGATAGCCCAGGCTAGCCTGATCTCACCAGATCTTGGAAGCTAAGCAGGGCCGGCCCTGGCTAGTATTTGGATGGGAGACCGCTAAAGAATACCAAGGGGGGTGACAAGGAGGCAAGCAATGAAAAACCACCTCTGAATATCTCTTGCCTTGAAAACCCTACAGGGTTGCCATAAGTCAGCTGTGACTTGACGAAACTTTCCACCACCACCACCACCACTCCTATGCATCCGATGGAGTGAGTTCTGACTCGCTATACTGGAATCACCCAGATCTGGATAGCCCAGGATAGCCCTATCGGGTAAGATCTCAGAAGCTAAGCAGAGTTGGCCCCGGTTAGTACTTGGATGGGAGACCCCCAAGGAACACCAGTCATGCGACACAGAAGCAGGCAGCGGCAAACCACCTGCAAATGCCTCTTGCCTTGCCAACCCTATGGGGTCGCAGCAAATTGCCTGCGATGTGATGGCACTTTCCACCACCGCTGTGCTGGAATAAATTTTGTTTGTCTTTAAGGCGCTGCTGGACTCCTGTTTTATTTCCGGTAACAACGGTAATTCCCAAAGCGCCAAGTCCTACCTGGGTCAGCAGAGTGACGTTATCCTTCAAGGAATTAGCAATCATCTGTTGAGTCGTGTCCAAATGAGTCAGGAGCTGCCCAAACTGCATGGCTGCAACACACAAGAACCGAGGGTCAGCTCGGGGCAAGAGGGGAAGGGAAGGCTGTTCAGCAAGGTAATGCGAGACCAGAAGGTGGGGGCACTCTCTTGCGCTGGACCCCGGTGTCATCTGGTTCACAAGCACGCCTCGTTCTCACGAAGCAGCCCAGAGGCTCACCTTGCTCATGCAACTGCCTCACGGTAACCATGCGCTGCACCACCTCGGGGAGGGAGCTGGCCTGCGGGCTCCAGCGCTGCACAGTCTCGTAGAGCTGATGCACCTGCAGAGAAGAGGAAGGAAAGTTCTAAAGGAGCAGAAGGCAAAACAGGAAGCTGGCCCTGCTACCACCCCTGCACCCCCAATCCACATACCCACAACAGAAGACAGACAGATTGCCCTGGATACTGGCAATAGTAACAGGTAGTGAGGATGTGTGTGTGTGTGTGTACTTTTTAAAAAACAACACTTTGTCATTTGAGGACTGCCACATCTGGCAGGGTCTTTCAGATATGAACTGACCATCACAAGATTTAACACCAAAAGTTCACATTGCCTGGTGTTCTTTGAATGATTCACACATACAATGGCTGTCATTTGAGTCTTCAGGTGGAAGATGTGCACGCATGAGCCAGTTATAGGGCTGAAACAAGCCAATCGCAGAATCACAGAGTTGGAAGGGACCTCCAGGGTCATCTAGTCCAACCCCCTGCGCAATACGGGAAATTCACAAATACCTCCTCCTCCACACCCCCAGTGACCCCTGTTCTATGCCCAGAAGATGGGGGGGGGACACCCTCCAGGATCCCTGGCCAAACTGGCCTAGAGAAAAATTGCTTCCTGACCCCAAAGTGGCGAATCGGCATTTCCCTGAGTGTGTCAGAAAGGGCCACGAGAACTAAGCACTGAGGCAACCCTTCCTGCCCTCCCTCTCATGACCTCCCTAAATTCACAGAATCAGCATGGCTGTCAGATGGCCATCAAGCCTCTGTTTAAAAACCTCCAAAAATTCACACACCTCTTTCCCGGGAAGGAAGAGCCACAGCATCCAGTTTTGCATAGGGGGACCTTGTGGATCCCTTTTACCCCCCCCTGACCCCAGCGGCAGGGCCTGAGCAAAGAAATCAACACAATGGAAGATGCCCCCATTAATCTCTCCTTGATTTCTCCCCCAGAGCAGGATGAAACCTCGCAGATGTAGAAATGTAGTGTTTTGCTACCAGCAGCAGGAGTCACAAAGACGAGGTTAGGAGATTTCATACACCTCTTTCCCCTAACCCTCCAAATGTTGGGCTTCCATTCTGGGATACTGCAGTCCGGACTCAGGTACTCTGCTGCAGACGCATCCCTGAACCAGCAGGGGGAGTCCTGAGACATTCAGCTTCCCAACCAAAGGCCAGACATTACAAGCATATAAGCCACAAAGTCCTGTGGCTGGGTTACCAGCAGCCCAGCAGGGGAAGGTTCAAGAGTCTGACCTTGCTTTGGGTGTCTGCGTCCTCCACCGCTGCCTTGTGCTTGGCAATCTCATTCACCTTCCCCAAGACACTCTAGGGACGAAGGGCAGGAGGTTAGAGAACTGGATTCGGACAAACTTCCAGCATCCTCCACCCTCCTCCCTGCAGCCCAAACGTGGAGATGGCAAGAACTCTCACGGCACTGACCCACCTGTAGCCTTGCCTCCACCTGGTCCAGGCATGCCATGTCTAGGGTGCTGACTTTCACCTGCAAGATCTCCACCGTTTCCTGAGGACAGGAGAAGAGATGGGAAACGCACGGTAGAATGAATACCTACCCCATGAGAACAACAACAAAACCCACCTGGCCAGTTCCAAATCAATACCTGGAACTTCGTGCTCACACCTCTACTTTGCCCTCCTATGCCTGACTACTACCCTCTTGCTAACACCACAGATCCCTTCCTGAGAAGACATGGGAAACACATGGTAGAATTAATACCTGCCACATGAGAACAACAACAAAACCCACCTGGCCGGTTCCAAATCAATACTTGAACTTTGTGCTCACACCTCTACTTCTCCCATGCCTGACTGCTACCCTCTTGCTAACACCACAGATCCCCTCCTCTCCAAATCTCTGTTCCCTGCTTGGGGAAGGGGGAGAGCTCGACCCACCCATTATCTCTCCTGCCAGATCTATTAGCATATGTATAAAGGGGAGCTGAGGTAGTCTGGGAAGCTACTGGACTGACTCCACCCCCCCACCCCACCCCGCCTATTCTCTGCCCAGAGGGGAAAAGACTGTTAAAACGCACAAAGGAGGTTTTGCTCATTTCAAACCTCCCCCCTCCCAAAAAAAAAATGCATTTCTTCATCTGTAACGTCTGGTCCGAACCTCACCATAAGACTGGCTCCCTGCAGCCCAACAGTCAGAGGATTCTAAGGAGGAGAAAGAATGCAAAGGGTTAATGAAGTAAACCATAGTGCTGGTTATTTCAAATGACCATACAAGCACAGAGCCTCTCCTGCTGCTACACACTGAGCCAGGACATAGACAGCCGCAGAGCACAAGGGAGGTATGGAGGCTCATGACTCCTGTTATGTATGGGCAGCCAGCCCCACACTCTCCTGCTGCTGTCTGGGAGCTGACCATGCGACAGATGAGCCACCCATGATTTAGGACGACCAGCCCCATAGCTGGAAAATGGGGGTGGCTTAGGGGCCTTCCCTTCCAGAGTCCCCCTGTTGCTTCTGATCAGTTTCACTCCCCTCCCAGAGCCAGCAATGCCAGGGAGGGGCAAGGGTAAGGAGCTTGGCACAGCGGGGGAGGGGTGTGTGACATCTGGTGGGGCAGGGTTCATCCATGGTGGGGCTCTGCCCCCAAATGCCACACTGTGGCTACGGGCCTGAGGATGACTCCTCTTCCCTTACGGACACCAGCAGGCATCACATCCCTTCTAAGCGTTTTCACAACACCCTCTTCTTCAAGAGGCAACTGTTATTACAAACATCAAGAGCCCTCTCGGATCAGTCCGGAAGTTCACATCGCTCAGGGTCTTGTTTCTGAGAACAGCCACTCAGCTCCTGCTGGGAAACATACCAACAGAGCACGGGAGCAATAGCCCAAACCCAGCATTTATCTAAAGAGTTTGATACTCAAGAGGCATCACGCGGACGTTCCATTTAGCTACTGTGGCGGGTAGCCGCTGCCTCCATGAATTTATCTCATCTTCTTTTAAAGTCACCTAAGGTCAATAGGCTGTTGTCAGACCTTGTAGCTCTGAATTTCATCAACTGTACCAAGATGTTTGTCTGTCTGTCCTAATTAGACTCCCCATCAGTTTCACCAGGTGACCCTGAGCATTACTATAGCGAGAGAAAGTGAAGTGCGTGCACACTTCGGGGTCACCCCAATGACAGTGATGGGTAGCAGAGACAGGCCAGGTGGAAAGCAAGACTTCCTTGCACAGTTCACTTGTTTTGTAGCTGTTGCTATTGCAACGTGGGGAGGAGAACAAATATTGTTAACTCACACACTCCAGAGCACTCATCAGCACCTCGGTCTGCTATTAGATTCTTCCCACCACATCCCATCATCATCACGTTATCTCCTGTCCCGTCCTGGTAATGCTCACCTGGGGGTCCTGTTCGCAGCGAACGGTGGCTTCCAGCTCAACCAGACGCTTCTCCAGTTCTGCAATCTGCACAGGCCAGAATGAGCAAATGAGAGATGAAGGTCTTCTACTTCCCTCCTTCCCTTGCTGTCGACCCGGAAACCTGCTCTGTTCTCAGACTTGAAACATACTCCAATAAGGTGCTTTTGGGATAACTATGTTCGCTGTTACCACCAGGTTTGGCAGCTTCAAGCGGCAGATTTTAAGATGCCGTTAAGGGTCAAGGGACTGACAAGGACCCTTCTCCTGCACGAGCTGCACTGAAGGGAACGGAAGATGGTGCAAGAACTCATAGCCTGAGCAGTTTCCATTAATTTCAATGGGCCTGGGAGAGGAAAACTTCCTGGCAGGCCGCATCCAATCATCCAGCGAGAGATTATTTATTACCCTATTACCCCTAACCAGGAGTTCATGATGATCAGAGCATTTCAAGTCACCTACTCAGGCTCTTCCCTGTCAGTTCCTCTTCAGAACCGCTGTTGCACTGCTGTTTCTTTCTGCTCTTGGATTCTCTAACTTAACACTGCCGTGCATCCTCCCTCCTAAAATTACTCCATCTTCTGCCATCTTCCACACAAACTAGATATTTCCCAACTCTGGCAAACCTTTTCCTCTTTTCTTCACCCATCTAACCCAGAGGAAGGCAGCTCCCAGTACACACACACTCCAGGTCATTTTGCCTGGCACTCCAGGCCAAGCACCCAAACAACCGAGGAATCCCCGAAGCGCTGGCAGTGCTACTAGGTACAGTGGCAGGGGAGAGGGTGACGGGAATGGCACATCTCAGAGGCGCTCACAGCGCTGCTGGGGCATGCCTTGCTCCCACTGTGTCTAGTCAAGAAGACCACTCATGTCTTTCCTTCTTCTCTACCTTCCAATTGCTTGCACAGCAGAATCTTCACCGGTAGAAGTTGTGGGTTTTTTTTCCTGATCTAACCCCTTTTCCATCATTTCTCTCCACTCAGCTCTTTCCTGGATATTTTAACGGTTATACTGCATGATTGGCTTTATTGGTCACATTGTGTACAGCAGACGTTTTCCCCATTACAATAGAAATGCCAGAAAAGGGTACAATTTGAGTGCACGCCTCGGAGGGGGGGTGTCCAGAGCTCATTCCAGGAGAAATGGACTGAATGTGGTGAGGCCACCTCCAAAGCCACTGAGCTGCTATGCAAACGTCCTTTCGGTCACCGCCCTAAACTGTTTCCTCCTCATTTCCGAGAGAGGCATCGGTGAGTAAAGCCCTTCCCAGTCTTACCTTAGCGGCCTGAGAGAATTTGTCCTGCTCCGGCCGGGAGTGCAGCTCGTAGGTCACCGTGTTGCCTGTGCCAGCTGGGGCTTTGGCAGGGCTCTTCCCCCCTGCAGGGGCGGCTTTTGCGCTCTTGGCTGCCTCCAGCTGAATGAGCAGACGCCTAAGAAATTGAAGAGGTCACAAGTCTCCATGGGGCACCAGGCTTCCTACACTGGCCGTCAGAACTACTGGCTGATGCTCTGGATTTCAGCTCAAGGACTAGGGACAATGCAAGGGAATGACTAAAAGGAAGAGGAAAACCTCTCCCATCTGGGTGCAAGACGGGGGTGATACGATTAACTTGGTTTCGTATCTACTTACTGATGCTGGTGGTCTGTGTGATGCCACTTTATCGGTGGGGATAACTGTGCGCCTTAAGGCAAAAGATTGGATGCGGTTTTATCGCCCCCCCCCTCCAGATCTACGATTCAATCGGATCTAAGCGTTGCTGCTGCGCGAACCTCCCACAAAACGCTCCACAATCCCAAAACCAGAAACCGCCTGGGCTCGAACTCGGCTCCGAATGAAAGAGTCGCAGGGGTGGAAGACTCTGTTTAAACCTTACTTCAAGGGGCATAAAGGCTAGCTGCAGTAACTGGGATGAGGGATGCCAGAGCGGATTACCTCTTCACGCACACTGCACACAACAGAGAGAGAATGTGTGAGCACGAGCGTGTGGGAAAAAAATCTGTTAAGCTTCTAAGGTGCCACCAGGCCTGTTTTGTTCTCACACCAAAGAATCCAGCTTTTCAGCACGGAAAACAGGCCCTCGGATGAAATCCTGCCTCAGAGTAAGGGCTGGCTCCGCCCCCACTTACTTGGCCAGAGCGCCGTCAGGATCCGTTAAGTTGATGGCTGCATCGGGCCCCAGGAGCTTCTCCAGGTGAGTGGAGACCAGCTGCTGCTTCAGGCCAGCCACCTGCTTAGCCAGGGCAACGGGAGTCAGCTTCTCCTCTGCTGTGGACTCCTTTACGGAGCTCTGTGGGGTGAGGACAGAGAGAGAGAGAGAGAGAGAGATTGGATTTATACCCCACCCTTCACTCGGAGTCTCAGAGCGGCTTACAAACGCCTTTCCCTTCCCCTCCCCACGACAGACACCCTGTGAGGTGGGTGGAGCTGAGAGAGCTCTTTCGAGGACTGCTCTTGTGAAAACAGCCCTGAGAGAACTTGTGATTGACCCAAGGTCACACCAGCAGCTGCACATAGAGGAGTGGGGAAGCAAACCCGGTTCTCCCAGATTAGAGTCTGCGCTCCCAACCACTACACCAAACGGGCTCTCTTGGAGATGAAGTACTGCCTTCCACTTAATGAACGTTATCTTTGCTAATGGTCTGGTGCTGAACTGTAACCGCTTTGTACAACTCTGTCATAGTTTTAACGAAAAGGCAGCACAGAGATCCAACCGATGGGCACATCAAATACATTTCAAGGCAGAAGGTCATACATCTTCCAACAGTAGATTTTGACCTCAGTATCCTGTTTGGTGGGGACTAGATGTAAAGAACTGAGAGGAGCCCAATCAACAGCAGTCACAAGGGAGCTGGAAAAATACTATTACTGAAAATGAATGGAAAAGGATTTGGGCATCACCATCCCTTACGTCCAGATCCATTCCTATAAAATTACAGGCATTCAAATTGATGATGAGATGGTATAATACTCCAAGCAAAATACATCATAAATCCCCTACTTATTCATATTTATGTTGGAGGAAATGTGGTGAATGTGGATCCTTTTTACATTTTTGGTGGAAATGTTGCATAGTTAAAGAATTTTGGGGGGAAATATGTATGTATATAAAAGATATAACAGGGTATGAGATTAAAAAAACCCAAAACAAATTTTATTGGACTTGTGGATAGATAACACGATTCCAAAAATACAACAAGAATCTAATCTCCACCATGCTTTCAGCAGCCAAGACTTTGATAGCGTCCAGCTGGAAGGACTCAAACCCTATATCCATTGAATGATGGTTCATGAAGTTATGGGATTTATTAACAATGGATAAAATATCGGACTCTATACAAAGAACTGAAGAACAAGGACTTACCACAAATTTATTGGCCAAATGGTTACCGTTTTTGGATTATGTACCCAATGAGGATTCATCATTCCGATGCACTATGCCCGCAAAATACAAAGAAATACTTACCTGCTTATAAAACCTACTTGACTTTTGAAAATATTTTGTAATAACCACCTGGTTCAAGGTTTATTGTTAATGGTTATAGTTCATTTGTTTTGTTATAAGTTTGTATTGTATAAAAAAGGAAAACAACAACAACAAGGGAGCTGGAAACAGGGCCAGAGGACCCCACACACACACACACACACACACCATTGTCTTAAAAAAACAACAACAAAGGGAAACTCTGACCTTGATCATCTCCACTTCCGTCGTCAGCTCTTGAACTTCATGCAGCAGGCGCTGGTATTTCTGCTGGGGAGTCTCTTTCACACCAAGTCCATCCCCTAGCTTGAGAAAAAGACAAGAGTCTCCCTGTCAACAGCAACATCAAAATAATGAGATCCTTGAATCTGTTAGCCAGATTTCATTTCGCCCCAGTTCCTACGGCAAAGCTGGTTTAAGGAAGATTTTTTTCCAAAGGGATCATCAAAAGCATATGGTGTGCTATTGTCGATTTTGCACGCATTCGTTTTGTTTTTTCTCCCTGAAGGACTTGGAGAGACAGGCGGGCACATCAAAAGTCGACAATGCCGCTGAATGTGGAGGGGAAATACCATCTAGTTCTCACAAATGTGAGATGATAAACTTGGGTCTTGAACTGTGCCGCTGCAGACTGCAGGCAGAGACTCATGGGGTGTCAAAATGCCTCATGGGAAAAGACTCTGCGTGCAGAAAACCAGCCCGCCAGAGGAAAGACAAAGCTTTCTCCTTCTCCTTGAGATCTGGCTTTCCATATGCAGGGAACTGTTTTAAACAGCAGAACATCTGACCACGTGAAAACAACCCAAAGGGTACAAATCCAGAAAGGTACAAATCCAAAAACGAGGTGGCCTGGATCGCCTGAACCAGTGTATGTCACTCCTGAGAATGACACCAGCACGAACTTCAATATGTAATCTTTGAGCCATGGAACTGGGGAACCATAGGATGGTTTTGCCTTTGGCCTACGGAGTCAGAGCAGCACAGTGTGAAAAAGCCAGGCAGGAATGTTAGACACCTGAGGCCTCTATGCTGACCGATTCCTCCATTGGCTCGTCTCTCTTGCCTACGACAGCCACACACTCATGCTCCCTCATGCCCTCGCCAACACTGATCTGTGGCAGGTTGCCAGATGGATGGCCTTGCCTCATGGCTGAGCCAGACTATAAGGATGCTCCTCTCTCTAGATTCGTTCACTTGAAACAAATCAGCTACTCACAATTTCGTATTCTCCAGACTCATAACCGGTCCTTTTGGTTTTGCCGATACGATCAGAGAAGTCTAAAAAGCAAAAAGAGGATTTCTACCATTACAAACGCTTTCCCACAGGTTCTTCTCTTTGAGAAGGGAACGCTGTCCCATGAGATTGTATCTGAGAGTTGACTCCTTCTACCAACTTCGCTTCTGCACCTTTCACAGGGGGTGAAAGAGGCCTGGCTGGGTAACTGTCTAGATGCCCTAAAGCTGCTGCCATTCCTTCCAATGGAACAGTCTTTACATTCTATAACATGCAATGCTGCTTTGTCCAATTTAGAAAGAACCCAACAATCAATGTTAAGGGATATTCTAACATGCGTGCTCTTCAATGGACTGAAGACACAGTCACTGAAATCATCCTGTGTTTTAAATGAAAACAAATCAGCTGGTATCATAATGCCCCTGTATAAATATATGCTGTGGTCTCATTTGGAATATTGTTTACAGTTCTGGTCACTGCACCTCAAAAAGGGTATTACAGCATTGGAAAAAGTGCAGAGAAGGGCAACTAGAATGATTAAGAGGATGGAACATTTTCCCTGTGAAGAAAAGTTAAAGACATTAGGGCTCTTTAAGCTTGGAGAAACAATGATTGAGTGGTGACATGATAGAGGTTTACAAAATTATGCATGGGATAGAGAAGGTAGAGAAAGAAGTACTTTTCCCCCTTTCTCACAATACAAGAACTTGTGGGCACTCAATGAAATTAATGAGCAGTAGGCTTAGAAGAGATAAAAGTACTTCTTTACCCAAAGAGTAATTAACACATGGAATTCAGTACCACAGGAAGTGGTGGCAGCTATATGAATAGAAAGCTTCAAGGGGGGGATTGGATAAGCATATGGAGCAGAGGTCCATCAGCGGCTATTAGCCACAAGGTATAGAGGGAACACTATGTCTGGGGCAGTGATGCTCTGTATGCTTGGTGCTTGGGGGGGTCAACAGTGGGAGGGCTTCTGGAGTTCTGGCCCCGCCGGTGGACCTCCTGATGGCACCTGGGTTTTTGCCACTGAGTGTTGGACTGGATGGGCCATTGGCCTGATCCAACATGGCTTCTCTTATGTTCTTATCTACAAGCAAAGAAATACACAATTGACAGATATAAACAAAAAACAAGCTTGTGACAGAAACCCTACAATATTACCAGGGCAAGGGCACCACCTATTATTTATTTATTTGTTACATTTATACCCCGCCCTCCCCACGAACGGGCTCAGGGCGGCTTACAAAAGTCGGTACAATGTACCTAGTCTTCATAAAACATTTAAAACTTTTTAAACAAATTAAAACAATCATACAGTTAAAATACCGTAGTAGTTAAAGTGCTCGCAGTCTTAGTCGATACTTCATTATGTTAAGCGGCGCTCTCTAAGATGTACCCCCAAAATTCCTAGCTCAGCGATCCTCCGGACTCCTGCGGAGATATGGCTCTCTTTCCATGCTAGGGCCAGCCCTATACCATAGATGTTCAATAGTGGTAGTTGGTGGTAGTGGTGGGCGGCTCCTAATTAAAACCCTGGTGGAAGAGCTCCGTCTTGCAGGCCCTGCGGAACAACCCTAGAGTGTCTGGGATCCTGGACCCCTGGGGGTTTACATTAGAATGACCCATTCATTTCCTTTCTACATGGGACCATCCTGACAGAGTCAATCCATTCTGGGCAAAGGACAATCTGTTTTGGGCTGGACTACCTATTTGCAATGGAAGTTCAGAGCCATTACCAGATGCTTGATGGGGGTGGGAGCTATACATCTAGATCTGTTGCTTCTCTCTGCAGCATATTTTAGACAAGGACCTCTGGAAACACTTACCTAGCCCTTTGGTGCCCACTCGCTTGTCTTTAAATTTATCATAGGCTGCATTGGGGTTGACTATGATATGTTCCACACTCGTGCTGGTCAGCTCCTCCTGTGCAGAGAGACAAAAAGATCAGGGAGACCACACTCGCTTGCCGCCTCCCCCACATCACCACCACGTCACCTAGCAGTCTTCAGAAAGGCTGTTCTTTGTTGCCCTGACATGAGACTGTCATGCCGCCGAGGATACTAAACTCATGAAAAATCACCAAAGGCCCTGACGAGCTAAGACAGCAACTCTCACTGGGCCAGCTCCTGTGTAGTTTTGAAAGGAACAAGCAGGATCAAAACAGAGCTTTTCCTCTCCATTCAGTCTTCAATAGTGAGCTAGGGAGGGGGCCACAGGTTGACTTCTCCTATGGCACATGGCTCAGTTCATTCAATTCAGTTCCCCATCTCTGTGTCACTGGGATGTCCATTATGTGGTATAATTTACATACGACCTGATAAGGTTAGATGGCCACCTGATAGCAATGCTGATTCTGTGAACTTAGGCAGATCATGAGAGGGAGGGCAGGAAGGGTTGCCTCAGTGCTTACTTCTCATGGCCCTTTTTTACACACCCATAGAAATGCTGATTGTCACTTTGGGGGTCAGGCAGCAATTTTTTTTCCAGGTCAGTTTGGTTGGGGATCCTGGAGGCTTTTTGTCAACTTCTGGGCATGGAGCAGGGGTCACTGGGTATGTGTGTGTGTGTGTGGGGGAAGGTATTTGTGAATTTCCTGCATTGTGCAGGGGGTTGGACTAGATGACCCTGGAGATCCGTTCCAACTCTATGATTCTATGGTTTTGAGGTAAAGTGTTGTACAGCTCTCACCCACTCCAAACCTAATTGTCTGAACTGGGTTGGTCGCAGGGGAGAGCAAAAGCACAGCTCAAGGAGGAAGAAAAAAGTACCTATTAGGTTATACCCTATAAAGCTGAAAACCCCCCAGGTATCGACACCATTCTGAGGACCTCCAGAACACTGGCCAGAATACAACTGGCATGCAAGAGAAAGAAGCATTTCTGTTTAACTTCAGCCCTGGGTCTAGCCAACCATTATTTCGGCTTTATTTCTGCACTCTTGCGGAAGAAGAATCAAGGTGTAGAGCAGAGGTCCCCAACATGGTGCCCGTGGGCGTCACGGCGCCTGCCAAGTGTTTTTAGAAAGTGGGTGTGGTTAGGTGGAGCTTTTGCCCAGAGAGGCTTCTGACTGGCTATTGAAGATTTTATTGGCTATGCAGATCTTTTTTAAAATGTTGCTTTGGCAACAGATGCCACTACAATCTCTGTCTTGCAAGCCCTGCAGAAAGGTAATAGATCCCACAGGGCACCGATATTCTCCAGCAGAGTGTTCCACCAGGCTGGCGCCAAAAAAGGTTGAGGACAGCCAGATCTCTCTCAAGCCGGGGACCACCAAAAAAAGGTTCTTATTCCCCAAAGTGTAACACTCGTCTGGGGGAATTCTGAGAGAGGCGGTCCCAAAGGTATGTGGGTGGTCCCTGGCCATTGAACATTACCAACATAAGGCCTATCCTATTTCACAACAAGGACCTGCGGTGGCTCAAGTGGTTAAGACGCTGAACTGCAGGCTGTGGAAGGTCGGTAGTTCAGCAGTTCGAGACCCGAGTGTGCCGCATGACGGAGTGAGCTCCCGTCTCTAGTTCCAGCTCCTGCCAACCTAGCAGTTCGAAAGCAAGAAATTGCAAGTAGATAAATAGGGACCACTTCGGTGGGAAGGTAACAGTGTTCCGTGCGCCTTGGTGTTTAGTCATGCCGGCTACATGACCACGGAAACGTCTTCGGACAGTGCTGGCTCTTCGGCTTTGAAACGGAGATGAGCACCGCAACCCTAGAGTCGGATTGGACTGGCTTTCGAGCAAGGGAACCTTTACCTTTATTTCACAACAGGGCAAAGTGAAGTATTTGTGCCACTTTATATATATTTTTAATATAATGGGACAGCTTCCCCTGATGTGCAATGGGTGGGTCAACACTGAAGGCTGGCATGCCAATCCTGAAGAAAACAGCTGACAATACCGCAACCATTACAACTGCCCACCCCTACTATGAGAAGGTATCGCTCCTCCCAATGGGCTAAAGCATCCTTGTCCTACTCAGAGCACATCTTTCTTGGGGACTTTAGAAATACTGGAAGCCAGCTTACAAGTAACATGGCGATAGAGATTTTTCCTTTCTTTTTTTTTCCTTTTTGAAGTCAACTATGTTGTTAAATGGCTGTGGAAAGGAGGTCTATACCAGTAGGAAACAAATGTTAACAAGGCATAGCTGAGCATTCTTTAAACCAAGACTAAGAAGAGTTAAAGGCAGGGATTATGTTAAATACTAAAATATCCTCTGGTCTTGCTGAGGAGGGGGTTATGTTACAACCTTTGCCCCCTTCATATCAGACAGTAAATTCAATAAAAGGAAAGGAGGAGAAACAGGATTCAGGTGGAAAATAGGAAGAAATTAGATTTTCAAATATCTTTCCGTTCCCGCAGCGACCTACTAAACTGAGTCTGGATCACTTATTTGAGGTAGCATCCTCCATTTCCTTTTTACTTCTGGCAAGGCAGTATCATCTCCAGCACACAACAGAGTAACTAGTTCAAATGGAAAATAATTACACCAATAATCATTTCTGTATGGAGTGGGAGGGACAACAGGTGAATAATAAAGAAAGCACTGTATTATTGTTATTATTATTAGTATTCATGATTTTACTGTTTTATCTGGTTTTATGTATGGGCTCATGCCCCTTGTAAGCCGCCCTGAGCCCGCTAGCGGGGAGGGCGGGGTAAAAATGCCTAAATAAATAAATAAAAATATAATCACCACAGGTTTTTGATTAGATGTAGCTATTTGGGGACAAAGAGTTAAGAGTGAGCCCCAGAACTGTAAAATGCAACTGTGAGGGGATGAGAGCCACTGTTTCCAGAACATTCTAGCCCCTGACCTGGGCAACTATAAACAAAACCAATGCGGGTTGTAAACAGTCCAGCTTGCAAGAAGTGAAGAATATTCTTGTGCCCCTTCCCAAAATGGGCATCCATAGCAGAGACACAAGATGGGGCTAGACTGACGTGGCAGTTACTCTGCAGTTCTTCCGGTCAATACAGATGATGGCTGGCTGCAGCACACACTATTTAAGCTAAAGGTTGCGATGAAATCTGAGAGGGTTTCTCAGCAAGAGGCGCAGAGTCATTAATGTACCAAACTGGCAGTCATGCTGCTGAAAAATGGGGGGGGGGAAGGAGGGGAATTCTGGAGACCTGGGTCATCCTGGGGGGTCCACAGAGCTGGACAAACTGTGTGATTTGTTTTCTGGGTTGGGTCTGGATGGTTCAGGGGGCAGCCCAAGTGGAAGCTCTACCCCCGGGGGGCCTGTGGTGGCTCTCGACAGCCCTGCTCGACAGCCCTCAAAACTACTAAGAGGAAAAGTGGTTTGAGAATACGACCCAGGAGCTTCAAGGAAGCAGAACCCCAGGGGCTGCTAGGTCTGAAATACCTCACAGGTATTTCTTGGAGGGGGACAACGGGATTAGACAGACCCCAGTGGCAACGTCTGCCCACTGTGCTGCTGAAGGGTGGCCTGCTGCCACGAATCAATGAGGTGTCTCTCTAGTGTCGTGACAGGGTACATTCATGAACCCAGAAAACCCGCGCCACTGCTACTGAAATGCAGCTTTAGGCTAGGCCTCACCAGGCGTATCCCACACCGAGGAGGTTAGCGAAGAGAGATGCCCTCTGCTCATCGTCTAGGCAACTGGAAGACAAAACATGGTCTCCTGTCTTGCGGGTCTGTACCAGCTCTCTCAAGAGGGTACCCCTTTCCAAGAACTTTCACTTATAGGGCAGTGCTGTGCAGAGTCCCACCGAGAGTGAGAACGCACTGCCCCATTTACCACCAGCTTGTGCCTTCTGCTAAGTGCCAGAGCACACGGGAGCGCCGCCAACGGAACGGCAACAGCACGGTGACCGTAATGGGCTCTTGATTGGAAATCAATGGCGGCAGCAAAGCCAGACTCTCTTTGAAGAGCTATTTACAGAGCTGCAAATTCCTGCTCCTGTTTTCCCTTTGGTTCCTCGCATTAAAAAGTCGCTGGAATAGGCTTGTTCTCAAAACCACGGCAAAAAATAGCTGTGTCAGATTAAAGTGACTATGAAATCATGGCAGTGGTGGTAAATTATTACGGTCTAAAAGTGCAAAGCTCTGCAGGGTTCTCCAAAGCACCATAGGCTTCTGAAGGTCAGGAAAGAACACCAGGGATCACAGCAGACGATTCTTCCACTCCCTTAAATGTTTAAAATCTCCTATATTCAAGGCTTTTTTTGTAGAAAAAGCCCAACAGAAACTCATTAGCATAATAGGCCATACTCAACAGCAGGAACTCATTAGCATATTAGGCCACACCCCTGACCACACAGCTCATTCGCATATTAGGCCACACCCCCATGTTACCAGAAGTGTGGTCATCCAACCACACCCACCTTTTGCTTCTTATTGCCTTGTTTGTTGTCAAAACCCAGGGTTTGTTTTTTTTGGCAACAGGAACTCCTTTGCATGTTAGGCCACATCCCCTAATTGTTTATTTATTTATTTATTGTAGCCAATCCTAATGAGTTTCTGCTGTTGGGTGTGGCCTATTATGTTAATGAGTTCCTGCTGGGCGTGGCCAACTTGGGAGCCAGCCGAAACTCCGTTTCTGTGTGTTCCTGCCCAAAAATAGCCCTGCCTATATTTAAAGCAGAGCTCTCAAACTGGAAGCCCACCAAGGCTCTCCAACCTTTTGGGATTCCCAACCTGGCCGGCTGTCTCCTGCCATACTATCTATTGAACTGTTGTCCCTATTAACAGAAGGTGTTTAGACTTTCCTACTCAAGGTATTTTCACTATCTTTACATCCTAAGGACAATTATTCTTAAAATGGCAACTCAGTGGCATCTGACCCTGTGGAAAAAAGCCATAAAGATGTTAATAGAAAACATTAGTTTAGGAATAATATTAAAGGTGACTTTTAGTGTAAACATATGCAAAGGCAAGTACAATCTAAGGCCATTGCTTAG